GCCGACCTGCACAATTCCCGGTTCCCGAAAATGTCCATTCTCTCTCTCGGGAATGTATCTTGCCCATGTGCGGAACATGCGATATTTTGCTCGGATCGCGACATTGCGCTAAAATTAGGACTTCACGACATTTTGAGAGAGGAGGGAGGACGTTTGTTGTAAGAAGTCGGAATCCACGGGGAGTGCGGGGTCAAGCCTTGAGTATTGATGACGACGAAGCTTGGTCTAGTTGGTACAATGTCCGAGCGTCAAAGCCTCGCCGAATCTGTTAGTGCGAATGAGCCCTCCGAGGGTGAAATTGCATCTGAGAACGGAGGCGCGAAGCAAGCGTCGACCAATGAAGAATTGCTTACTCAACGAGGAAAGCGACTGCTGTTCTCCGAAGGCTTCGGTTATTGTTTGGATCGAGCGACAACAGACAAAACCATTTGGCGATGTCTACGCGAGAAATCGGGTCATTGTAAGGGCCGTATATGGAAATATCCGGATGGTCGAGTGCTGCCGCGGAATGAGCACAATCATTACCCAGACTCCACAGACTACGAGCGAAGAAAAGTTTTGGAAAACATTAGGCGAGCCTCAAAATGCAGTTTCGGAACCTCTGCACAACTCGTTGCTGAGCAGGTGGAATCAATGCCTGCAGGAATTGCGACGTCTTCACCCCCGATCCCGCAGTTGAAACGGCTCGTTCGAAGAACCAGGGCAGCAGAGACGCATGCTTGTCCCCCCATTTTGGAAGATCTCGTCATCCCTTCCGACCAGCAGCTCGATCATGAAGGAAAGAAATTCCTTCAATACGACAATGGGCCACAAGCTGAGAATGATCGAGTCATCATCTTCGCGTCGGACCGAGGACTCCAGATCCTCGCTTCCAGCGACATCTGGTATATGGACGGAACATTTGAGGTGGCTCCAAGGCTATTCTATCAGCTCTACACCATCAACGTCACGCAGCATGACTGTTTCATCAATACAGTGTACTGTTTGCTGACCGATAAGCGACAGCTGACGTGTAAAGAGCTCTTGAACGTCATCCGCGAAGAAGTCCCCGCTCTCAATGTGAGGGTAGCTATTGCTGACTTCGAGATCGCATTCATCAAAGCCTTCACCGATGTCTTTCCTGCAATACAGCTGCGCGGCTGCTACTTTCACTTTTGCCAGGCCATCTGGCGGAAAATTCAGAAGTTCCCAATCGTGCGGAAGGCCTACGTCGAGAACTCGGATTTCGCGCTGAATGTGAAGATGTTGATAGCTCTAGCTTTCGTTCCTCTACAATCAGTTCTTGAATACTATGGGTGTTTGATTTCGTCGGAATTTTATCGTGTCAATTCGAACAAGTTGGAGGGTCTTCTATTATATTTCGAGAGGACCTGGCTCGGACTCAATTCATTCGGTCAGTGGAGAGAGGCTACTTTCAATCTATCGCTATGGAACTTAATGAAAGTATTCTGCACAATCTTCCCGTGACGAATAATCCCACGGAGGCTTGGCACCGTGGATTCAACTCCTGGTCCGCACGGCACACCCACGAAAACTGATCGATGCTCTAGAAAAACAATGCACTCAACTTTTTGAAATACGATCAGGCTCAGGCCGGGCAGCCTCCGAAAAAAAGAAAGTGCTACAAAAATCGTCAAGACGCTCTCAAAAGATCCTTGAGGATTTCGCCTCTTATGATGCCTTAGACTTTCTACGAGCTGCTGCCTGTAATCTTTAACTGTAAATAAGGTTCCGGAGTCACTGACTTAGGAGTTGATCCAATAAATTGAAGCATCGATTTGATGACCTCCATAAATTGAATCCATTGAATTAAAGGAGGCCCGAGTTGTGAGAATGTGCCTTTCCGAAAGGGGAGTATTATTCTGAGCAGTTTCAATTATCGAACTCGCAGTTTAGTCTATTGAACCGGCGGTTTTCCCGTTGGGCAGTCTGATTTCAC